ACATTTGGAACACATCTGGCTATACACACCAAAGTTTTGCTTTCTTTGATATTTCCACAATGATTAAGGAATTAATTTCAAATCTCACCAATATTTAGCAGAAAAAGCAGATGAAGTTCCACTATTTCTGTTTACTCCAAAAACTACTGTAATGAATTACAACTTAAAAAAGTTGGACTACATCCAGTTATTGTTTTGCTTATATTATCTTTCAATTAAGTACTTTCCCCCTCTCTTAGTTGTCTCCACCTGGGTATGCATATATGGTTTCTTCAGCAAAGGACTAACCCAGACAAGCTCTTCAAGCTTTCTCTAGTGAGATATCTGTTTCTCCATTCATTCTAGAGCCTGTCTCTACACATTTCAAGTTCTTCTATTTTCTCCCCAAACAGATGACTATTTCTGAAGCACACTAAACCATGTCTCACCAGATGCTTGTATAACACCACCAGTAATTTCCTCTGTCTACTGGAAACATCTTCTGTGACTGTGTCCCAAGAGCCTTCCCCATAACTGCACCACACTGTTTGCCAGGTTACTGCATACCCTTCTCTACTTTGATCCCTTCAATTATTCAGCTCCAAGCCCAGAACTGGCATTCTGGTATCACCCTAAAGCAAATGACTCCAAATTTCATCCCACTCCCATTACTCCATCCCTCAGAGGGAAAGGAGGCTAGGTGGAAAGAAGTATTCTGCATCATAAAGATGCTTCAGATTTTCCCCATATCTGGGCCCATGGCCGATGAAATCCCTCACAAAATTCAGTGTAAAACTTCTTTTTGTCTACATTATGAGCATGTTTCAAACTTTATGTCATCGACAAATTCTAGTAGCAAGACCCCTTTACACTTATCTTTGTCATGAAATGAATCAGGAAACATTAAGATTGATCTGACAATTGTTTCATAATGATTCTAATAATGAGCTCTCTGAACTGTTTTCCCCTCTCTCACACAGATCCTTTATATTAGGCCCTTAGACACACACTCAAAATTTCTCTACTAATATATCTCAATTTCTCCTACTTAACCAACAGTTTGCAATACAGCACCACATCAGTTACTAAATACATATTCAAACAACACCATTAAAATGTCTGTGTAGGAAATAAGTTCTTTTCATGAGAAGTCAGCTTGCTGCACTCTGGCTTTTGCTGTCCAAATACCATCAGAAGCCCAAAATAAATTCTTAAGTCAGTCAAGCAGATGTTGCATCAAGTGCAAGGAAACAGCTGTTCTAATGAAAGGTGAAAGTATTTTCTTATTTATAGTACAGCATGCCACCGACACATTGAGTTTGCATGCTTGTCCATATATATATAT